TCTTTAAAAACAAAACGGCTTTTCATTTGAACACTTGTTACTTGTAGCTCTAAACAATTTAGTAAAAAATATCCTGGGAGCAGCTGAAGTACAAAGAGTAGAGAGGGTATTTTGGTTTTAAAAAGTAAGTAATTATCAACTCCTGATATCCTGATGGGGCTTTCCATAGTCACATTCCAGTTTAGTCTTTCTATTTACTCTAGAGTAAAGTAGCAGAAAACTTCCTGATGATGTTTCCTAAAGACTGAAGATGAGCTGGTAAGCAATCACGAACAATGACACAATAGAAAAGCTCATTAGTAAAATACATTTTCCGTGAGAAGGATTTTTATTTTGTTAACAAACTTGAATAAGTGCCAATAGCACACAGTATCTAGGAAAGGCAACTGCCCTCTTGAACCAAACATGATCCACAAATGGCTGCGTGTTATGTATTTGCATACTCATTCACCCAGAAATTCAGGCAGTAAAAGTCCCAAGGCACCAATTAAGCTGGACCTAAACCCTTACTTGTCAACTTCTAAAGGTACAAGGGGACTGCAGTTCTAGAGCTGGCTTTCTTTATGTAAAGTATTAATTACGGGAGGAGAGAGCATAACTTTCCTTCTTCAGTATCTTATTTAGGAATATATTAGAAACCTTTGCATATCCGCATTTCTTCCCCCAAACTCCTCACACCCACCCAAAAGAAAAAAAAAACAAAACACAAAACCAGTAACACCCCCCCCAAAAAAAAAAAAAACAAACAAAAAACACAAATGAAAAACCAACCACCAAAAAACCCATTTCTGTTCTGACACAAGAACAAAGAGATAAATATTAATTCCAGGAATTCCTTTTTACTGATGTATTCCATGGGCTGCTTTCCATACTAGAGGAATGATGTCCCAGTTTAGGGGTTCTGCAGGGAAAATTCATTATGTTGATGTTCTCCATGAGGCATTTCTAAAACATTTGATTTACTGCCAATATGAGGTAGCTAACTATGTGTGACAACTGCGCTCTCAATCTGAATGAAAGCATTTGCACTCAGCACAGTTCTTAATCAATTATAGCAATGAATCTCCTACTTTCAAGCATTCAGGACTGAACTCTAGGACACCTTCCCAGGTTCCATGAAAGGCACATCTCCTGTCCACTGCAAGGTTATTGGCATGCATGAATGGAAAAAAATGCACAGTTGCAAGACTACTTCTGTATTATCTCCATTGCTGAGTTTAGCAAAGTAAAATCTTATTATGATCTACCTGCATCAGAAGATATAACAGGCAAAGTAAGTGAACAGGCTTTATTCCAGGGTGGGGTGGTTTGGGTATTTTTCTTTCAGTGCTGAATAAATGAAGTGTGAAGTGAATTCAGTAATAGAAGAAATACATCAGATATTTAACACTGGAGGCAAGCCCTTTAAAAGTATTTACCCTTTACAGAGAAAATAATACAACGACTTTAATTCCTGAATTTTAAACATCTGCATATCTTTGCATCCTTGTGTTTGAATCACCTCACCATTCAATAGATGCCACAAAGCCTTATACTGAAAATCCATTTTATGTGACTCAGGTGGTAAAGGAGTTTGAAAACAGCAAAGATGCTATGAGAGGTTGTATAGAATCATAGAGTGGTTTGGGTTGGAAAAGACTGTAAGATCATCTAGTTTCAACCCCCTTGCCATGCTCAGGGACACCACACACTAAACCATGTCACCCAAGACTATATATCTGAATGGAGTTCTACTTGTTTGAAAAGTACATGCTTCCCCGTGCATGTGGCCTTCAGGATGTGTTACTACTCCAGGAGAAGCATTTACAAAGTGCTTGTTGGCAGACAATAAAAGCAAGAGTAGAGAGTAACTGTATTCACGTATCTTCATGATTTCTAGAAAACTGTTCTTATGCCTAAAAAAGAGTAAGAAAAAAAAGGTACTTTAAGAAATGCAGCAATGGAGAACACTTTCATCAGGGAATAACTGGGAATCATTTCCAGTGAGGCTACAAACTTGCCTCCACAGGATTTCATCATTAGTCATTGCTGATTAATATCAGGTGGGGACACATTGCACTATTCTTGTATAATTTACCTCTATCTAGTAAAAGGACTACAGTAAACAAGATTACCACAAGATTATTTGGGTAGAGCTGCTGTAGGCTGACAGCTTCCCTATATCAGCATTAATTTTTAAATGTAGATGAGCCCTGACAAAGAGCATGCTGTAAGAAACGACTACATTGGACTGATTTGTGTCACTGAGGTCTAATAAAATGCTGAGCACGCTGCATGTTCCCTGACAAAGCACCTCCGAGCTTATTAGTTATAAGGTGACGTATACAGCAGTGGCTTAAATTCCAGTCCAGGTGTAACAATGGCATGTATATACTTATGGAATAAGCCTAGCAAAAAACAACAACCAAAAAAAAAACAACCACCAAACCCAACCCCCAAGCCCCCAGATGCAGCATCTGTAACTGCTTTTTGTTTGGCTACTTTACTTTGACTACATGACTTTTTATTACAAATCTCACCGTAATCTTCCAAACAGGATTGTATTTGGTCTTTCTCAAGACCAAGTGCTCCTGAATTTCCAGTAAAATCTGCATAATGACCCCCAGCTGCAGGTCAAACTCTAATGAAAACATCTGCAGACCCAAAATATCTGCAAAGCCTATCCCCTTCAACAGAGATTTTGTCTTTTTCATGACTGTCATCTGCCCTGGCTGCTTAGATTTTTATATTTTGTCTCCCTAACCAGCTTACCCAGGCAGAGGCAGAGGCACCCACTGCTTTTCACATCTGCTATCACCAAGTAGCTCAAGACCAACCAACCACCACAACAAAAAAGAAAAACCCAGAATGCTGCTGGTTTGGTTTTTTTTGTTGTTGTTGTTGTGGTGGGGTTTTTGTTTGGGGTTTGTTTGGCTTTTTTTTCCTTAATATGCTTTCCTCTGTGTACTTCATTCGGAAAGTCAAAGGACAGGAGAGAGCACTTTGCACAGCATATAAATGACATCCCAAAAGGAGCGTGGGAGGAGAGGGCTGACAAGTCTGTGAAACACAAGAGCTGATAAGCACACATCCTCATGTGCTCCACAAATTAAAAAGCTCATTAAACTGAAAGTTTATCTTCCAAAGATTCCAGAACACACCCAGAGTATACACTTTGGAGAAAGACCTCCTTGGCATCATTGAAATGACAGGGTCCAAACTTAATGTAAATGACAACAAGGACCTGGCAATGACAGAGCTGGCAAGAAGCACAGCCCAAGAGATGACAGCTACAAGCTGGAGATGTTGAGAAAGAGCTTCAAACTAACCTCAAAGAATAACGCAATTTTGATCATATTTTCTAGAAATGTCTGCCTTCAGATTACTTCATTTTCTTTCCTGAAATCAAGACAATTTTTAAACTTCTGAAGGTTTCCTGCACCATTAATCTTATTAGCATTAGAGTAAGCCATATGTTTGATTCTTGTTATTTCTTAAAACTCTACCTAGTCAGATCCACGCAGCGTTTCAGCACTGAAGACAATTTAGTCTTACTTTTTTAAAAAGGCTTTATTTTGTCACTTTTGCTATCAATTCACAGGCCCAACTTCCAAATAAATCTTTCCAGCTGCAAGAACCAATTAAATGAGCACATATATCAACTGCAACCAATGTTATTTAAAGTCATTTGGTCTTTTAAGAAGTTTTTCCTAATGAACACATCCCCATGACTATGCTCCAGCACAATTTACCACAGGCCAATATATAGATTTCTCTTATTTAATCAATTGCACAGCAACAACTACATGTGAGCAATGGCAACTGGTTAAATTCCAGTCCTATCATGATAAAATACCCCTCAACTTCAACAGACCAAGACACTCATTCAGTGTCTTTAAGACACCCAGGTCATGAAAATAAATGCTTTTCCAAACATAACTCATGAAATCATTTATGTATCATACAGTTCTTTGGCAGTATTTCCTCTTAACACACACTTGAACATTAACCAAATAGGCAGATGGATAGAAAAGAAAATCAGATGCAGCTTGCTTTTTGATACAAACTCAGACTCAAAATGCGGGTGCATTGTGCGGACTCTGTTAACAAATTCTTCAAAGACTAGCCAAAACCAGACACCAGTCAGAAAGTGATGTTAGTAACAAATCTGTGCTATGTAGTCTACACAGATTTTCTTCTTTTTTTTTGGAGGAAATATACAACAGAATCTGCAAAACAGAAGCCATGACGAAGACGCAAGACCTGAACGCCCATTTTCTCAAATGACATGAGCTAGATCTTGTAAAAATTCAGTGAAAATAATTGTAAGTGAACTTGCCATTCACCTATTTTTCACCTTATTTAATATTCTGTTTATCCTACCTGCACTCACGTATGTATTTTCTACTTAACACAGTTAATTTGGCCACAACATTCCCATTCCAGAACACCATCACATAACCCTGGTTACAGTGACACAGACAAAAGGGCAGATTAAAAAAAACCCAACAATAAATGATAAGACTGCAACAAATTAACACAAATGAGCTGTGCAATGTGACCTTTAAACCCCTATATAACAATATTGCTTTTCTTTTTGCATAAATCTATTCAAATATCAAATATCTAGTTTTCCCTCCTTTAAGAGCAGCTTAGTACACTACTGAGGATGATGTTAAAAATGACCTTACCAAACCACCACAAAATCTAAACAATCTAAAATAATGAATTATGAATACTAAATACACTCAGTGTTCCCCAATCCTCTCCTCCAAGCTTACAGCCATTTTTATTGCATCTTCTTGACTACTTGAAGACAAGATTAGAACAGATGATACTAAAAGTTAATACAAAACACCAGACATGCTTTCTCCAGAGAGACAATACAGACTAATTAGTCACCTGGTGCCTGCCTTACTCCTACAGGAGGTTAAATTTGCCCCAGCTGAGAATCTGACAGTTTCCCCATCAAGGTCACACGGATCTGTATAACTGCAAATCCTAAACCTACAGTGAGCAACAATATTTCTACCTTTTCCTCTGAGCTCCAAAGCTGAAAATTTTCCTTCTTAGCTGAAATACAAGGACCAGAAAGAGGCTCAAGCACTGAAGAAACTGCTCTTCCTCCAGGTTATCCTGCCCAGATACATGAGCTAAAACCCAGGATCAGTATTACTAGGGCCAACCGTTGTCCTGCTTCTTTTAAGAGATGGCTGCTGGCCTTGTTTACCTAATTTGAAGCACCTGCACATAGCAAGCACTGTAAAACCATGTGTGTCTTCTAGGGAGACTTTCAGAGTCTAGAGATGGTAAACAAACAAGTATTTTCCTACAGAAATGGCTTTGTGCTTTGAAATAGCCAGGGTTGGTTGTTGTTTTTTTTGTTTGTTTTTAATATCTTAATCTTCTTTTGATGGCATTTGCTACAAAAATCTGACATCCGCATTTTGACCTGTTTAAATGAGCTGACTGTGTACTGCTCGTTTTCTTAATCTGGAATTTTAACCTGCACCTACAGTTCACTTTTTCTGATAAGTGGCCAGTGCAGAAACACATATCTCTCTGAAATTTTTCTGATTAAATGTAATAGTAAAAGCTTATTTCCACTTAAATACGATAAAGCTATACCTAAAATTATTTCAGTAATGATCACAGTAATCACATCTTCAGACATGCGAATTAGCTCTAGTATTCTTCATGCCTTTTCAATGCCTCTGGGTAGCATGATTATCAGGATAAACTCCTCTAGCGTAATAATAATCCTCCCTAAAGATTCCTGAAGTCACTGCTAGTAAAAATCAAAGCAGATGAAATTATAAACTATACTGAATTAATTCTGCCAGCATTTCCTTACCTGTAGCAGGAGTTTATTTAACAAGCAGTCTCCCCAGGATACGCAGACCTACACATATAGATTATTTGTACTAGTGATCTTTCCTTCAATAGAGCTACACAGTTTACATTACCACACCTCACAGTGTAAAGCCAGGAAAAAAGGGTGACTCTCATCTAGAAACCAGAATTAAATGTGCATCTGCTGATATGCACCACGCTTGTTTAGCCTCATATATCTGTGACAAACTGATGGGAAGGTGCTCCTCTCTCAGCTGGCTCAAGCTGAGATGAACGGTTTCTCACTATTTCCATTTTCTGAAGTGGCAGAGCTCTTTCACATCACTGAAAGGGTTCTGCCTTATGTGGCCTGGGGAAAAGCAAATCTCCACTCAATGGAAAATCAGATGTCCCTGGAAACAATTACATCAGCTAGGAAAGTCAAAATAACCATCTGTTCCCCCCCTTCACCCCAGGGCTCAAGTGCTCTCTCCTGTCCAGGCCTGCTGATTCCCACATCTTTGGCTGGCTGTGCATCCCTCCTACCTTGCTGTACACTCTGTATCCCTCCTAGCCTGCCCCTCCATGAATTTCTAGCATAAATCTTAAGTGAAAAAATCCACAGAATCTGCCCTCAGTGCAACTTCTGTTCAACAAGCAACCGGTCTTAAGCAGCAAAAGGATTCTTACCTTTTTCATCACAAACATTTTCCAACAGCAAACATTTTAATATTTTTAATTAAAAGTGACATTTCTGGAGAAGTTTTACAACAGTAATGCAGCAATGAGAAAGCATCACACAAACCAACACTGAAGAGTGAAGAATATTTAAGCTTTTAAAAATAAATCTTCTACAGACTGTCCAGTGCAAGGTAAAACAAAAATAATCATTACACATATATCATAAAATGACACTTCCCTCAACTGCACAAATTGATTTACTTGCCATTACTCATAAATTCTTTTCAGTTTCTAAGGGTAACACAAGGGGACCACTTTGCCCATGAAAGCACATGAGTTTGGCACCCACTGATTTTACCCAGTGCCTGTTATCTCCAGAGATAAACACCTTGCGCCATTACTGAGAGGCAATACAGTATTTAACATGTTACTGTTGGAAGCTGGATGTACACAGAAATATGAGCAAACACATTTCTACATATTAAGTTACGGATGTGCATTTACAGAAATGTCCTTTCCAAAGCTGTGGGGCTAATATAGGCACTAACAAGTCATATAGTGATGACATCTGTGAACCAAAATTGAGATGTATGAAATACATACATTATGGAACACCTGACAATGATTTTTTTTCACAACTCTTTTAAGTTTTTCCATGAGTACTTCAGACAAATATCCAAAGAGAAAATACAGCTGATACTTGAATCTATTTAATAAAATATAAAAATTCTACCATAAATTAATGTTAAGTTTGTCTATGCAGTCAACCCTTAGCCATGCCAAAAATATGTGCTCTGGTTATTTCCTCTAACAATCAGCACATACTGCTTTTCTACAATGTTAGCATTTAATATTGGGCTAAAATCAAATGTGAGCAGAAGCATAGTTTTTTACATACATAAAACACAGCAAAGGATAAAATTAATACTCACTCTTAAATTCTATATTTGTTCATCCAAGTGCCTATTTGTGCAGCATTAATATTGCATTAACAGCTTTTGCATATTCATTTTTTCTAGAAACAATATTCCTAATCTTTGCAATAACAAATGTATTGATGTATCAAGATGACTAGAACTCATCCTTAATATCCTCCACTACTGGAATTCTATTATGCTAAAAAATAAACTTTTGGCATCACCAAATGCTTTCATATATTTCAGACAGGTTGCTGTCTTCATTGTTAGTTTTAAAAAGATGACAGTTAAAATCAAGCATACTATTTTGTCATGTCAGTGGAATTCTTCATTTTTATTTTTATTTTTTAATTCCAAGCAATTATTTACCAAATGCGTTAAGTATTTAAATTATGAGTAAATTTCTTAACTTTTCAGACTGGCAAATGGGGAAAAAAATAATTCGGTTTAACCAAGAAAAACAAACACCTGGAGACATCCCCTCCCAAAGGTCTCTTGGCAGTTGTAGAGAACTTGCAGCCCATTTTGTTTGCCCCTGAGCCCTCTCTCTGGACAGCTTCCAGAGTTTCCCCGTCACTCTCAAATGTTCTGGAGTGGCATTTGCAGTGTAAACAATTGTCAGCACTTAGATTACTGTAAATTACTTACAGTAAAGTCATAGAAGACTATAGGATACTTTAAGGCCTTGTTAAGACTGCAGTAATTATTCCCAGAAACTGAATTATGGGAGCATCTAGTGCTTAGAGGCAAACCCAGAAGAAATACCATGACCTGAAACGTGAAGACAACTTTGAGCAGAGAGCAAACCTGGAATGAATTTCTCACAAGCAAAGAAATTCAAGGATCATAGATCATACAGCAAAAACATGATGTTTAATGATGAAAAATATTTAATGTGCTTGTCACTGTGTCTGACACCACGACTAATACTACAGGTACATTACCTAGGGGTGATCCCTGAACAAAGTAAAAATTTCCTCAGAACTTCCTCATCATGTCTGCCTGTGGGATGGCATGGCAACAGTCATGAGAACCCACAGCTTGGAAAACCTGGCTTTAGACAGCAAGAACTATTTTGTACTAGCAAGGAAAAAGTGTTCTCACCCAGTTTTTGTAGCTACACCATTGGCTGTCAACAAATCATGGGTTTTTAGACATATTCAGATATTCTAAAAATATTGTGTAAGCATTTTTAGAATATAAACAAAATCAAAAATGGTTCAGAATCTCTTTTTCAAGTGCTAAATGTCTACATAAATTTAGTGACATAAACCAGCAAACACTCAAGCCAACATTTATGTAAAAAAAAAATCCAATTTATAGATACTTGAATTTTTCAGAGAACAGTTTGGACTCTCTTTTTGAGAGTAAGTTTTAATAATGTGTCCTTCCTGAAAATTATTTCAACAGTTAATCATAATTTGAACCATCTCATTTATGAAATGAGAAATTTAAAACAGGGAAAGATCAGAACAATCTCTTTTATTCGTAATCAAATCAGTATATTAATAAATGAATAAAATAGTTTAGAAAAAGAAAACAGCGAAGTGCTAGGCAGGTAAAATCCTTAGCTGTACTGAAAAATAGAATCTCGACCCAAATGTTTCAAATGAGGGTGCCAAAGCTATGTAAGAACGATGTCCGGAAGCCCGGGATATCCAATAGCACAGACTTACAAGTCGAAGAAACATCAAAGACAGTAATATTTATGGGAGAACCTTCTGCAAATTGATACAGAACATGGTAGACTTCTCTCTTTGTTTACACCAAGTGCTCACAATTTTGATGAAAACACAGCTGCTTGACTGTACCTCCAATTTCAGAGTCATGGTACTACCACCACTTTGAACAATATGACAGAGATTCAGCTGAGGTGAGACACTACTGAAAGAAGATGATCCCTTTAGCACGGGGAAGGAATTCTGATTTAGGTGCTCAAACAATTCATCATTTTTAGACAGAAATTCTACATGATTTCACACTGGTTTAAAATCTGAGTGTGAGACATTTTACAGGAAGGAAAGATAAAAAGAATTATTTTGTATTATTTCAAGTAGAAACAACAGCTCTGGTCAAAACGGAAAAATAAATTTATCATATATGTTCTCTATGAAAACCATACATGTTCTCCATGAAAACCATAACTGAAAATAAGCTTAAATACTTATGTTGATCAAGACAAGAAACTCCTTGTTATTTATGCACAATGAAAACCAGTTTTAAAAGAGTTGCCGTTGAGATACTTGTTGGTACATCATCCACTGAAAGTTCTTTTTTATCTTGTGATTACTTACAGCTACCTTTCTCTGTTCAAAAAACATGCCAAGCACATGTGCATTTTTATCATAAAATAGTGAATTATAATAACATGAGTTCATCCCAATCAGTGGGTGGTTGTGTTTAGCTTTTTTTTGAATACTGCAGGCCATGTGAAGTATCTTCACTAAAATATCCAAGGACTTCATCATGTACCCTTTCCTTTCCACTGTCCCCTTACATTTTCCATAATTAAGAAGTATTAATGATTTCTCCTTGCACATACTAAACCAATCTTCTTACAGTTTCTGACAGCACACAGACAGGCAGACCCTCTCAAGCAGATCTAACAGGGTGTTGCATCACAACAGCATGGTCATCATGACCAACACAAGCACTGCAATGTTGACTGTCCACTTGCTGCCATCTGATGTTCTTCGGGCATGCAATACAGCAAATACTGCATTTGTGTGGTTTGTTGGTATTTCTACATTGCAAATCATCCCTTCACAGCAAGAAATGCATTCCTGTGGAGAAAAAGGAGATCATTTGACATAGGCTAATTCAGCAGTTAGCTTTTAAAGATGTATGTTCTATCAACAGGTTGCAAAGGTTACAGCTAAACAGACTCATCATTTCTGCCT